CACACACACACACACACACACACACACACACACACACACACACACACACACGACTTCTAGTCTGTGTAAGGCACACCAGGAAGTTTGTTATGTGTAAAAGACAACACGAACACGACATGGCAGACTGAGGTTCAAAATATGTGGTATCGTGGTGAAATCAGGCGCTCGTCAAAATAAGAATTCGAGGATAGCTGCATTTTCCCTCAAGTTTGACAATTTAAAAAAAAATTTTTTTTTTTTTTTGCTCAACATCTTTTATATCCATTAAAGACACATTTCCATGTAAATTTGACTTTAAAAAAAAAGATAATTAAAGGTACACAATTATGTTTCAGTTGTACAAGGACTCTCAAGCTATTGATGTTACCGAACTTTGGCGACCATTTTCTCGCAAATTTTATCACTAAAACCAGGCGACGACCCTTCCATCAATCTCAAATATCTTGACTTTTATTCAAGAGAGATGGGTATCTTTTTAAAAAAATTGAAAGCAAGTCAACTGAATAAACTTTGAGATGATACAATTTACTTCACGTGCCCAAAAATTGACGAGCGCCTGATTCCACCGCGTCGTGACACAATTACCCTCGGGGGGAGGGGGGGAGGGGGCAGGTTGTTTCATTTCTTTGTTCACTCTCTTGTTGAATTCGAACGTAAAATGGGTCAAAATGAGCCACCAAAGTTACGTTGACGCTGTTGATGTGGTACGCTTTCACCCCGAGAGGGAATTTCAACTTTTCAAGCGGAACGAAATTAAAAACTAGCAGTGTGTCGGAATTTCCACACTCAAAAACAACCGGGCTTCCTTCTATTAGGCTCTACACTTCATGCACCGCTGAATAGGCTATAAACTATCCTGAAATCGTTATACTCCAGAGGCCTTTTGACATTCCCAACTGCACTGTGGTTATGCCCAACAAGCAGTGATTTTAATTTGGTGCATTTGATTTATTTGATACAGGCATATCACTATATTTAAAAAAATAGTAATGGGCTGGACACATCGGCAGAAGGAAGGACAAACGATGGACAAAAAAGTACGGAATGGAGATCAAAAACAGGAAAAAAATCAAAGAGATAGACCAGAAAGAAGATGGCAGGACGACTTAAAAGAACAAATTAGTACAACCTGGAGACAGAAAACAGCTGATAAAACAGACTTGTTGGAGGGCTGCATCTTGCAGTGGACGAACAACGCCTAGATAGATAGATAGATAGATAGAAAGAAAGAAAGAAAGAAAGAAAGAAAGAAAGAAAGAAAGAAAGAAAGAAAGAAAAGATGCAGTGGCGGCCAGCAAGATTTTCCTTCATGGAAGGAGCAAAACAACCATTTTGACACAGTTTGATCAAATCCTTCAAATGAAAACATGTTTGTTCTTCAAGGTTACGATTCGAATGGGCAGTATCCATCTGGAACAGGCGTCTGTGGTGCAGTGGCCAGGCGCTACGATGTCGCACGCACGAGACACGAGTTCAATTTCTGAGTGGGGGGAACATTTTTTTCGAGTACCTCGGTCTATCTGCTGGGTCTAAATTGTATAAACCATTTGGGGGGGGGGGGGGGGGGGCGGCGGGGATTAAAGCACCTCTATTCATTTAAAAAATAGATCTGTCGGGAGAGAAAAGCCAGTGAAAAGGCTTGTAGTCTCCAAGCCGAATGATATAGCGTAGGACAGATCTTTTGTTTGCTGTGGAAGTGCGATAATGGGCATTCTTGATCTGCAGACGATGGTAGAAAGCTATCGAAATTTTCCACGTCTATGAGATTCTAGAGCCTCTCAACACAGTAACCGCAATATGAGGCAGTGGGCATTTGAGGCCATAATATTGAAGGTAAGGGTTGTGAATGTAAGTTTTACGTCGTATAAAAATTTGCGCAGTTCCGGATATGACCGTCATACGAAGTTTCTCTGTCGAAGTCAAAGTTTCCTCAGCTTTAACTTCCCGGTTAAATTTAACTATCGTAGTGTGCACTGGAGCCGCCATTAATCCACCCGACCCAACCGTATTCGCCCGCACACGACCCAATCCTGCCTATGGGCACCAAGTATGATGAAGTGGTATAGATTTAACGCCCCTATCAACACTATCAGGTTATCTAAGATTCGGGGCCTCCGAGTTTAACGTCCATCTCCGAAAGAACCAAGCCAAATGTGAAATTAATATAAAGTGTCTTTCCCAAGGACACAACTTCGGACCGAGCTGACGTTCGAACCCCCAACCCACAATCTCACTAATACGGTCTAGTAGCCAAACCACTAAGCCACTGACACCACGTATTAGACTTTGTGCATGTCTATTCGCCTCTCAATTAAGAAATTAATAACATAAACAATAAATAAATAAATTACTTTTTTGAAAGAAAGCATGGGAAAATGTGGGTTACAATAGCAAACATCCATACATAAATACATCATAAAAATACATACATACAAAAATACATATATTTTAAAACATACATTTATTGAAGCACCTGTGCCGCCAGGGTTCCCCTCTACTCTCCACGACCTTCTCCCATTTGGTTCGCAACGTCTTAGCAGCTAACCTTTATTTCTGGAGGTCTTTCCCCTATCCACCACCCGGGGACGCGCTGGGTTGGGTATGAGGACCCAATACTAAATCTTAGTACTTCCCAGTAATACACAATATTACACCAAAACAGAACAATTTCATGCATTTCATTTCTGGTCGCAATTGTCCCGCGCCCTAGGGTGTTTTTTAGCTAAGGTTATAGTGCCTTGCTCTAGGACACACCCCAGTGAACACCAATCTAAACCATTACGGATGTAGCAAAGCTCGGAAATCGCTTGATACTACTGTTTGCATTCTATGAATGTGCTCTTTTTCTGCTTGTGGACACTCTCAGAGTCACAGCCGAGTGAATAGGAAGGAAAAGGTGTAGTTTATATCGATTGCCTTCCACAAAGATTTTCGTTTGAGTTCTGATGTTTAAGGGAAAAGAAGGGCCACTGATTACCTTGGTGAGGACCTGTTGACGAATGAATTGTGGAGTGTAATATTATTGTGTAATATGCTTTGATCGGAAAGTTCAGACAAGCCATTTTACATTCATAGGTTAACTCTTTTTTCTGCGAATTTTCAGTATAATAATACTATAGTGGAAATGCACTAGTGTATGGGTGCCTATTGACACTGAGGAGAGGAGGACGATAACTTTTACGTATCACTTCTCGTGTGCTCTGTTTTAGTTTTTAGCTTATATTCTCTTTTCTTTTTTTATTAAGAGTTTTACGCAAAACCATACCAGAGCACCCACCAACCACCTACACGCGATCTGCGGGCTCGCAGCTGATTTGTTATTTTGCAAAACAATAATGTATATTATTTACTGCCGAAGTGTGAGTATGGTGGTTCCGTTGGTCCATCGTTTACTTACTGCCGATGTACCTGTGTTCCGTGTCTGGTTTCTGCTCACCCTCGTTCACGTGACCTGGTCTGCTGTTTTGACAACATCGTCACTGCCGCCTGTTGTGTCTGTGAGCAGCGTGTGCCAAGATACCCCTACGACAGACACGTCGTCCCTGTGCACGGAGTTTGTCGTGAGCCAGTCCGACTGTGTGGAGATAGACTGTAAGGGGAAAGGCATCGTCCAACTCGAAGCCTCCTGGTTTCCCTGTAACGCATGCAAACTGGACCTCCAATACAACGCGCTGGAAATCATACACAACACATCTTTTGCTCGCCTCTCCAGACTCCGCTGGCTAAGTATGAGATTCAACAGAATTAGAAAAATCAAACCTTTCGCTTTTGACAACCTTGTCAGTCTCGAGTATTTAAACCTAGAGTTTAATTATCTAGAACTCTCTGCTGCTTCCTATCCATCACATCTCTTCTCACCTTTGACACAACTGAAGACTCTGAGGCTTGCTCACCAAAACAGCCAAGCGTTAGATTCGTACCCTCCAGATTTTATTTTCAACATGACAAGCCTGAGAGCTCTGTCGGTCACAACGGTGGGTCAAGTTCTACATTTCGGGCCAGAATTTTGTCAACTACAGAATTTGTCTCGTTTAGAAATTTCCGGGCCAGTCAGACAGATCACAAACTCCAGCTTTGAAGGACTGGAATGTTTAACTCTGATAGAGCTTTCTTTAAACAAACTACCTTCCTTGACAATATTTGAGCTAGATGCCCTCAAGCCAATAAACCGGGGTTTACGATCACTCCATATCAGTCATGTTTATGTAGGCGTTCAAAAGATCTTACAGATTTTGAATCCCTTAAAAGGATGTGATATGTATGAAATTTATTTTGAGCACGTAGGTCTATACACCAAAATGACAGGTTTTTCTGTTCTTACTGGAGACGGAATAATTAATGGTAACTCAGCTGAGTACTTGAAGGACATCTGTGTGAAGAGACTATCACTGCTAAAATCCCATATATTTCTCTTGGATTCTTTCGTTTTTCAAGGAGGTCGTATAGTAAAATGCCTGAAATACTTGGATGTGTCAGGAAATACGATTCTGGGCTCTTTTGCTGCTTTATTTTACACTCTAAAAATACCTACGCTGGAGATATTTGCAATCATCAATAAAAGTCGTCATTACATACACAGCGACTTAGAGAAAACGATATTGGAAAGGAACACTCCTCTTGAAAGCCCCATTCCGCCAGAGCAGGTGTGTTCGAAGGGCGACAATCATCCTAGCCCCCACCAAGCAAAACAAGATAACCCGATGATGATGTTATCCCACACAAGAAAGCAGCGAGGAGCGATGACAATGTTTTATGTATCCAGAAATTTAAAAGCCCTAATTTTTCATCTCGAACACGGTAAAACACATTTTGCTGGTGAAACCACAATTATGCATGCTGATAAGTTGGAGGTCTTGATTTGCAGAGATAATGGTTTTAACAGTTTCACTGGACATTTATACGGTGTAGATCACATAAAAGTAATAGATCTATCATATAACGATTTTTCAAACACTGCTTTCAGTTTTACTGAAAATTTCACTGGAATTGAAACATTGGTGCTATCTCACGTCAATTTTAATACTCATTTCATGTCAAAGGAAAGCCATAGTGTCTTCCATTCGATGTCCTACTTGAAAAGTCTCGATCTGTCCTCTAACTCTCTTGCTGAGCTTAGTGTAGGGACATTCCGAGAAAATGACAAACTAGAGTCTCTGAATTTAGCAAATAACAAATTTCGCTCTGTTCCATTTGATCTCTCTCTTACGCCTCAGCTACGACATCTGGACCTAAGTAAAAACGCCATTTTTCAGCTGAGCATCAAACAGTGTCATGAACTAGATCTGCACTCCGGCAAAATCACAGATTTTCGTCTTGTGCTTAAAGACAACATGCTGTCCTGCAGCTGTGACTCAATCTCCTTTCTTTGGTGGCTTGGGCACACTACTGCTCTCTTGGATGACGGTGGCAACTACACCTGTATCACAGCACCGGGTCAACTAAGCTACACCTCAGCATACACAGACACCCGCGCCCTCTGGCGAAAATGCTTCGGGAAAATGTTTCTGTGGCTCTCACTTGTACTTCTGGCTGTGATGATCATCGGCTTTCTTGCTGTCGTGCTCATCTCTCGACACAGCAACTACCTCCGTGCTGCACTTTTCAAGATCATTGACCAAACATTTAGACTAAAAACTTTGGAAGACTACCCAATCGGGGTTTTCGTCGGGTATGCTGAAAAAGACTATCGCTTTCCTTGCCTCCAGCTCCTGCCGTATTTAGAAGACCTTCACCTCACCGTTTATGTCCGGGACCGCGATATGCTGCCCCACGAGAACGTTGCCACGGCCATTATGGAAGCTATCAAAAACAGCTGGAGAGTAGTTCTTGTGATCACAGAGGCTTTCCTCTCCTATGACAAGTGGTCAGAGTTTACCATGAGGTCTGCTGTGTACTCCCAGTGCCCCCAGAACCCGGCTAAGGTGGTGCTCGTGGTAGAGGAGAGACTTCGTAACCGACTGCCCACACAGCTGGTGGCAGGCGTAGGGGACGAGAACGTTCTGTGTTTGGAGAGACTTGTCATGTGTTATGAACTGACACAGGGGCTGAAGACTCTTACTTTACAGAATTGAGTAAGCAGATTGCTGAAGGGCGCCACTCGTAGGTCCTACTTCTTTTCTTTCTCCCTGTTGTTTCAGTCTGTCTGTCTGTCTGTCTGTCTGTCTGTCTGTCTGTCTGTCTGTCTGTCTGTCTGACTAACCTTTCCCCTGCAATAAATGACATTTTATGTGTCGGTGTGCTTCTTTTTAGTCAAACAAACAAACAAGCAAACAAACAAGAACTAAATAACCTTAGGATCTCGGATATTTTGGCAGTGCGTGTATGTGTGTGTGTATGTGTGTGTGTGGTGTGTGTGTGTGTGTGTGTGTGTGTGTGTGTGTGTGTGTGTGAGTATGTGTTTGGGTATGTGTGTGTGTGTGTGTGTGTATGTGTGTGTGTGTGTGTGTGTGTGACTGTGTGCGTATGTATGTGCGTGTGGGGGGCGGGAGGTGGGATATTCTTGACGCAGGGTGTTTGCTTTTTATTATCCTGGATCGATCCCTGGTCTTGCAAGAATGGTAGGCGCTTATTTAGGGGGTGGCGGTGGTGGGTGAGTCCGGGGTTGGCTTTACAAGAGGCTGATCATAATTATTTTCCTCTCCTTGCTGAAAGTGAGGTCGAGTATACAGCGTTCTGGACAAAGTGCTAGGCCCCCGAAGCTACCGTATATAAATTAGACAAAATGAAAAACGTGTAATTTGAAACTTAAACAGTGGAAAGGAAGCTTTTAAATGCTCCAATTGTGGAAAACTGTCTTCCGCCAGAATTGGTCTCATAGGCCATGGTAGAATCCTCAATTTATCTGTAACCTTTATTTCTTCCATTTTGCTAGGACTATTTTGAAACTGACATTTAGAGCATGTTATAACAATAATAATGAATGAATATTGAATTTATATAGCGCTATATCCCATACACGTATAAGCTCTGAGCGCTTAATGATAATATCTGCATTTCTATAGCATGTCCAAGCTCTACAGTACGATCTATAAGCTTTTTCAACTATCATTACCACAGCAGAACCCCATGCTTCCCCGCAAGCATGTAGCGCAAGCTGAGAAATACGCGCGCTTAAACACTAACAATCTGACAAGATCTTTTGCTTTCTTTAGCCAGGTATCCATTCCCACCTGGTTTAAAATGAGAAAAATTTATGTCAAGTGCCTTTCCCAGGGGGATAAAACGTCGACCCCTGACAGGATTCGAACGCACCACCTTATGGTTTCGAGTCCAAGAGCCTAACACTAGGCCACAGTACAGTCGAACATGTCCAAGTACAAACAAACAAACACACACACACACACACACACACACACACGCACACGCACACACGCATACACGCATACATACACGCATACATACACGCATACATGCATACATACACGCATACATACTTACATACACGTATACATACAAACACACATACACACATACACACATACACACATACACACATACACATACACACACAACACACACACATACATATATACATATATACATACATACATACATACATACATACATACATACATACATACATACAT